CATTCTTCAAAGAATTTGAGAGGTAAGTTTAATCTTGAGAGCATCTCTTACTCCCAAGTTCACTTAGTTCTCATTAAAGAAAGACATGTTCATTTGTAGAAGACCCAAGACACACTCCTCTCAGTTCACTACTCAGTAAACCCATTCACCTCCCAAATTAAGCCAGAGCCCCTACCATGACAGTTGACTCCAGCAAACGTCTCACAATGGAGTCTTGAGAAAGTCCTCCAAAACCATTCACCTGTGTGAAAAGGAACTGAGAGGAAAGTTGAAGAATAAAACAGAGCCTGAAAGAAAGCTCTAGAATTCTTATGTCATTTCAGCTGCATTCCAGGAGGTGGTAGCAGATGGTCATAATGATACCCTAGATATGGTGGAGTGGTAGACAACTTTGAGACAGGCACATTCAAACAAGAAAAAGGCCTCTGGATTCTCATGTACCATTGTTACAGCTAAAGAGTGTAATGGGTAATATCTGCAGGTGAGGTGATAATTTAAAAGGTACAAATAAATATTCAATGAAAAGTAGTTCTGACTTTTAGCCCTGTCCCCAATCACACTATTTCTTTCCCCAGAAGCAACCATCATTTGCCAGTTTACGTATTCTTCTGAGTCAGGCAGGGCAATCTCAGCACCTGGAAGGCAGAGGCAGGTTTAAGGCAAGCCTGAGCTACAGTGACTCTCTCTCTCAAAAAAAGTACTCTTCTTGGAAATGTCTGTACATTTACAAACACACATATTCTGCAGTGTTATCTTTTCTGCTTAATTTATGTCAGATAGCTTTCCAAGTAGTACACAGAAAATATTCATTTGAATAGTTTCATAAGATTCCATGGTATGAATGAACTACAATTTTTAAATTGTGGAACGAATTTTATTATAATATATCTAAAGCAATGATAGTGTCTTTGTATCTTTTCTGTTGCTGTGATAATAAATACTCTCACAGCCTGGCATGGTGGTACATGCCTTTAATCCCAGCACTCAGGAGGCAGAGGCTGGCAGAGCTCTGTGAGATCAAGGCCAGCCTGGTCTACATAGTGAAGTCCAGGCCAGCTAGGGCTACAGAGAGACCCTGTCTCAAAAAAAAAAAAAAAAAAGCAAGGTACTCTGACAAAGGCAACTTAAAGGAAAAGAGGTTTATTCTGGCTCACAGTTCCAGGTTAGTCTCATAAAGGAAAGTCACAGCAGCAGGAGCTTGAAGAAACTGGTCACATCATATCCAGTCAAGCAGCAGAGAGCAACGAATACCTGCCTCTACTCAGCCCCCCTCTCTGTTTTCACAGTCCAGGATCCCATTCAGAGAATGGGGCCACCCATAGTGGACAGGACTTCCCATCTATGTCAACAAGGTAATCTAATCTACACAATGCCTCACTGAGACTCCCTTCCCAGGTGATTCCAGATTTTGTTGACTTGACAATTAACACTAACCACCACAGATAGGAATTAGCTGCTCATTTGAAGACACTACCCAGGGATGTATTCTGTTCATCCATCCCAATGTTTTTAATGTGTGGCTCTCAATTGATGTGGCCACATGAGATGTGGTAGAAAAAGCTCTCCATCAGCATCCACTCTCCTCTTTTAAAGCAAAAAAGTGTCAGTAGGAAATAGCTACCCAGTTGGGCAGCTAGACAGATCCATGGGAACAGGTTTTGTTCACTTGATCTGAGCAGAGGTGGTAGGAGTGATGAAAGTTCCTACTCTAAATCTTAAAAGGAATGCTTATATCTCCTCGCACAATCTCAGTGTCTTCTGCTAGGATACTCAATAACAGTAATAGATAGAGCTATTGTGGCAAAGGCACAATAAAACTTTTTTTAACTTTAAAAAAAATTATTGAGAATTCATACATGCATATAAGGTGTTTTGATCAAATCCATGCCCACTCTCTCCCCTCCAATTCCTCCCATATCTCCCCATCACTTTTTCCTGAACAACTTCGTATACTCTTTCTTTTTTGATTTTTTTTTTATAGCTAAAGCTGTTTACATCACTATGGAAACCTCATGCTGCAAACCTTAGATGTGGCTTTGGAAGAGGAAGGTCTGAGTCAAGAGTGGAAGGGAGAGCCAGGTGTGGTAGAACATGCCTTTAATCCCAACACTCAGGAGGCAGAGGCAGAGGCAGAGGCAGGCAGATCTCTGTGAGTTCAAGGCCAGCCTGGTCTACATATTGAGTTTCAGGACAGCTGGGGCTACAGGGAAGCCCTGTCTCAAAACAGACCAAAAAAAGAGTGGAATGAAGGGAATTCCCATCCAGTGGAAGAGAAAAATGTCATTTTATGAAATGAGAAAAAGCAAGCTTGAGTCTAGAAAGAATTGGCTTCACTGTGTGATTTTTTTCTTACAGGAATTTCAGTAGTATAATTTTCATGGCTGAAAGAACAGACCTATAAAACATAATCATGACCTAGCAGGCCCCAGGCTTGACTATCCCTATGTTTTATAGACTTACATTACCTCTGACTTAGATTTCCTTACATACTTATTACATTTATTTGTTTATGTGTATCGTGTGCCACATGACATTAGAAGACAACTTACAACTTCCACCATGTGGGTACTGGGGATTGAACTCAAGTCTCCAGAGTTGGCATCAAGTGCCTTTATGCACTGAGCCATCTCACTGGCCCATTTATGCTCATTTCTATCATCTTTCAAACACAGCAGCTGTGTAGAACTGGTGAATCAATGGATCCAAGACCTAGATTAGCTATTATAAATTATGGGCTCCCTGTTACACAGTGCTCAGATTATATCACCTTCTTCCAATGAAAGTCCACACTCTGTTTGATGCCTGTTCCTAAAACCCTGGGCTCCTATAAACCCCACATCCACATTTTCTTTTCAGTTCTCAAAGTTGAAGCCTATTGTCCTGTACTTCCAAATTTGGCCTTGTTTGCTTTTATAGATTTACATGTTGAATCAGTTTTTTACACTTTCTTATATCATGTTATTTCTGTTTATAAATTTGAAGGCATTGATGCTACTTTCAAGCTAGTCTCTTAAGTCTGCACCAAGAACTGAACTCTCCATCCTTTGGTTCTTGTTTGTTGCTTCTTGCAGTAAATAAATATCTTCACTCTTTTAACTATCTCATTTTCTCTTCATTTTCTTCTAACACTCTTGTTTCTTTGAACCTTCTCTCCAACCAATATCTTAGCCACACTATCATTACACTTCAGGCCATTCTGTCTCAGTAACTTAGCTTCACTTACTATTTTCCACCATTCTGTGAGCTCCAATTTTTAAGATGGTTTCATTTTATCTTTGCCTTTCACCTCAAGTTCATATCTTGCTTCATCTCAAACCATCTTTCCCTCTCTCCCATACCTTTGCTTATTCTTGTGTTTTTATAAACATAGCAGCCTAGATAGACTCTGTCTTAAGGGATAAAATCAGCAGAAGAAAAGACTAGAGAGATAAAGACCCAGCAAAGCAGCAAGCCACATTGGCTTCCTCACGGTGACCCTCACGTTCCAAGTGCCTGGGATAAGGGAGGTCCAGAATGTCTTAAGCAAATTGAAAAAGAGCTAGTAAGTGGTATCTGTGATTAGCCAAAGAGAGATGTAGCAACAGAAGCTGACTGAGACTTGTGAGCAGATGAATCACAAAGAAGAAATAATGGCCAATAATAATAATTTTCTTATCATATAGGTAACAAAAAGATGTTAATCCACAATGATGACAGTGTAAGGCAATATTCTCAGACAATGTTAGAATTGCACTAAGTTCATAGGCTGTCTACAGCAGTCAAGCAACATATACCTACACTTTAAACATCTACAGCCTTTGACCTCAAAACCCTACATGTAGGACTTAGTACAGGAAAATAATTAGATGAGGAAACAAAGGCATGGATATAAAATAATCGATAACTTTTGCCTTGTTCATAACATAAGAGCAAGATGGGTTGCAAGGAGGTTTGTGTCTATTGGGGAGGAAATTTCTCCATCAACACATAATCAATTATGCTATGTCCATGTCAAACTGGTATTAAAAGGAATGATACAGTTCTTCACTATGAAATACAAAGATGGCTAATAAGGAAGGTCAGGACACAGAACAGCAAGTATAGTCTGATCCTGTTTCTTTAAAGTTATAATCTAAAGGCAAGTGTGATAAAGGGGGTTATGTAAGTTTCTTAGGAGAACTCCTGGTAGGTTTGGAATCTACTTCATACATTTTCTGACTTGTCACAATTTTAATATTTTTTAGCAATATGGAACATAATAAAAGTCTACATAATTTGGAGAGACTCTGGTACCTTCCCATGAGAATGAACTAACATAGACTTAAATTAAGTAGACACAAAGATACATCTGCTTTTTATAAATTTTATGTGCATGAGTTTTTGCCTATATGTATATATGTATGTGCACCATGTGCATGAAATGGCCATGGAGGCCAGAAGAGGGCATTAGATCCACTGGAACTGAAGTTATAGGTGTTTTTTTCCACTGTGTAGGTGCTGGGTACGGAAGCTGTCTGTGTTCTCTGCAAGAGCTACCAGTGTTCTTAACTACTGAGCCATTTCTACAGTCCCACCAGATGCTTTTTATTTTTATGTATACTTTATTAAATTTTTGTGCATCTAATATAATTGATCTTAATCAAATTTAGACTCCCTTCCCCATCCACACCCCTCATAGCCCCCTCCCCACCAGATTTCATGCATCCTATCATATATGTTAAGGCCTATCTGGTCAGCTACAGAAACAGTGTATTCTTCACGAGATAAAACCGCTTGCTAAAAGTTTGTGTAAGATGGGTATGGTGGCTCACACCTATAATTCCATCACTTGAGAGGCTGATGCAGGAGAATTTCCACAAGTTCAAAGCCAACCTTGCGGTTAAATAATCATTTCAAGGCCAGCCTGGGCTATAGAGTGAGTTCCTGTCTCAAAACAACAACCAGAGACCTCTGTGGCAAACACATCTACTGGTTCAAAAAAGGGGGGCGGGAAGGGCTTGGGGAACAAAGGGGCACTTCACCTGGCACACTGGGCTGGAAGACTTTATTCAGATCCAAGGAGGCGGCTCTGGAATGGGTTTTCTGTGGCCGTGGTGGTGGTGTGGGAGGGTCCTCCCCCCTTTTCATGGCCTCTTCTATGGAGGTGCTAGAGTAAGATCTGTAGCAAAATAAGGGAAGGTCAGAAGGGAAAGAGCAAAGCTTTACTCCCTGAAGCTGGGTTGAAATAGAACATACCCCAAAGTCAAAATGACCGGAGAGGACTGACAAGCTGCCAAATGCAGTCATAAAGTCTATCATCCTTTAAATGGGATCTTTTTAACTTCTTTATTCTTATTATGTGATAGGCCTAAATTTACACTCCCTCTAAAAAATGGTTTTGTGTAAATTCAAATTCATTTCTACTAGAGTTGTTAATAAGAATAGCACATAAGCCCTTCAGCTTGGGTACTTCTGTGTTTTAATGGGAGGGCTTAATGGTTATTAACTGATTGCAAAACTTTTGTTAATGCACAAATGTAATGGCAGGTACATATGGACACCGGGACAGATAAGCTACGACGAAAAAACTCAATATGCAAATGAATATGCCACACATGAAGTTTAGGAAAGGAAAACACATCAATCAGCTTGAACCATTTAGCTTGCCTTGCCCTGAGAAATAAGGGTTTGTGGAAATTTTCAAAGACTTTATTTTATCTTCTTTAGCAGCAGGGCACAGCTGACTTGGTGACTTCTAACACTATAACTCCAATAATGATATTTAGAAAAAACGAAACTATATTACCACAGTTAACAAAACTACAGTTACACAGGTTCAATCCAAACTCCAGCCTCTGTTTCTATATTCCATATATTAAACATTCTTTTAGTGTTCATGAAGCAAAAAGGACATCCTTTGTCAGTAACAGCTGGAATATTTATTGGAAGCCTGTGTATTTTCTAAATTAATTATACTCCATAATTTGGTCTATTACTAAGGACAGGCTCCCAATATGATGTCAGGAAAAGCATGTAGGAAGTGGATGTGTCCATCTCTTCCATTCAGCTTCTCTGTTGACTTCACATCACAGCAGAAAATAACCTCTGAGATACACCTGAGAATCAAATTAACCTCAGGAAACTGGCCTATGTATTCAGCTACTGGAGTGGTACTTCATAAAATTAGTCTACCAATGGCTATTAAGCCCCGTTAGTTCTTTGCAAAGCTGTTTCTGGCATAGCAAGATTTTTGTTTGCTTCTAACTTTTGTTGAGCTTATTCATTGACAAGTTAATACATTCTGATTATTACAATCCCCCTCTCTAATCTCCCTCCCACCCCTAGAACTCCCTCCCACCTTTCCCCACAATCCTCCTTCCCATATCCCTAAGGTTTTTTGGTGGATGTTATTGTTTTTTTTTTTATGAGACCCACTGAGTTTAGCCATGGTCATTTATGTGACCATGGGTTTGGAACTATCAGTTGCTGCCTGGTGGGTTCCTCAGTGGGTATACAACTGAAGACAATGTTCATCTCCCAGAAACCATCTGTAGCCAATGGTTCATTAGAGAGGGGCAGGGTCCCATAGGATGCCCCCTCCCCTCCCCCCCCTAGACCCCCCTCCCACCTTTCCCCACAATCCTCCTTCCCATATCCCTAAGGTTTTTTGGTGGATGTTATTGTTTTTTTTTTTTTATGAGACCCACTGAGTTTAGCCATGGTCATTTATGTGACCATGGGTTTGGAACTATCAGTTGCTGCCTGGTGGGTTCCTCAGTGGGTATACAACTGAAGACAATGTTCATCTCCCAGAAACCATCTGTAGCCAATGGTTCATTAGAGAGGGGCAGGGTCCCATAGGATGCCCCCTCCTCCAAACCATAATTGGCTACTGACAGACAAGGTTTTTTTTTCATTTTAATTTTTTATTTTTATTTTGTGTATGAGTGTTTTGCCTGCATGTATGTAAGTACACCCATGTGTGCAATGCATATAGAAGCCAGAAGAGTGTGTGAGGCCAGAGAGTTATGAATGGTTGTTAGCTGCCTAGGAACTGAACCCAGGTCCTCTGCTCTTAACCACTGAACCATCTCCTCAGTCTCCAGAGAAGTTAATTTTTATGTTCCTGAACAAGTCTCTCAAAGTTTCTCTCTGGTAGTTGAGGGGTTTGTCTGTCTTGCAAGGTAGGATTTTTTAAGAAAAGCATAATAATGGTATGGGATATGCTCTTGGTTTGCTCCTCGTCCCATAAAACAGGCACAGAATACAGGTAGGAACTAAGGGAAGAATGCACTAATATTTTCAAACAAATCAAAGGGAATTGATGTAAAAAGACAATGAAGTTTTAAAGAGAATTATGGCTTTAAAAAGGCAGCTAGAGATCTTAGCTAGATATTAAAAAAAAAAAAACTTTTATGCCACATAAAGCTTTGGTGACATCTTCTCAAGGAAAAAAAGAGTAAGATATATGTATACATAGTGTGTGTACATGTAAACACACACACACATATACAGGCTATCCCACACCACATTACTCATTTCCATTTCATATCTATATAATATGTATATTTATATTTTTACATGGAAAGGTACTGAATATCAAGCAAGTGAGGTTGCATACCAGGACTGTGAGCAAGCAAAAAATAAATATACAAGGAACTGACAAAATGATGAACAAAGTAATGTTAGAATGGTAATTTTTCTTTCTTTTATATGTCTACAAATCCTTATTATTTGAAAAATGAGAATAAAATTCATTTGACACTTTCATCTCAATAAAGAGTAACTATAAATAATGAAAATAAACTCATCCAAATTGGACCATGAGGCCAACCTCTGAAAGAATAACATATAAAATTTATCCAGACCATTAATAATGGAGCATGTGCCTATGAGATTTTATAATGCCATTCACTTTGGGGGTGTGAAGTCAGTAGAAGTTATAAAGTTATAAAGTTCAATTTGTGGTTAGTGTAGTATATATAGATTGATTTCTGAAACTCATGGAAGGCTTTTCTTATTGCATAAGTGAATAAATATTATCATTTCAATATCCCAAAGCTTCTTACAAATTAATTTTAAAAGATTCATTCATCCTTAAAAAACAGAACAAGTCAATGTGGTCACCATAGAGAGAATGGTCATACCTTTCTTCCTACTCAAATGAATTACTCTGTGTGTGTGTGTGTGTGTGTGTGTGTGTGTGTGTATCTGTGGCTTCTATAAACAAGGAAACAAACCTCAATTATTTGATTTATAGTAAGATTATTTATTTCCTTTAATATAGGTATTTTGAGTGTATAAGATATGATGAAGTTTAAATACACATTTTCAGGAATGTGTATCCAAGGGAAGGAAAAAGTATCTAAAAGCCCAAGCAAAACTCAGAAAAACACACATAGAAGCCTTCTTGTACTGCAGTTCTACTGCTTAACAGTGAACCAACATTATTTCTCATCTTCCCTGGATTAACTCTTTCAGTGTTTCTGTATTTCTCCTCTGCTCCTCTCTTCTGAGTCTGACATCAACCACAACTTGAGTATTTTTAAAATGTGAAGTTGAGAAGGGCTAAGATAAGCTCAAGCAGACCATAAGCACTGCTTACCTGAAGCTTGGTCTCCTTGAAGTCACCATACGCCTTTGCCCCACTCTAGATTTTATTCCCAAGACTCATTTTTTGGCAAGACAACAAATCTCAGTTGTTACCTTTTAACCTTAGTTCCCTCTTAACAAAGCTATACCTTCCCCTCAATTATTTATCACCCTGCCCCTACTCAGTCACCTTACAAAAACTACTTCTTGTCAGGGGACCAGACAGCATCAGCCACCATCTTTTGGCACTAATCCACACAGACTAAGGGGCTCCCCAGCATCAGTGCATGTTCTAAACAGGCCACTCACAAGGAGTGAAATGGCCCACATATTTAAATTCAAGTCTAAAGGCAGAGGGGATGGTGCTTTGGATGTAGGTTTGCAGTTTCGGATTTTATGTCTAAACAGGGACAAGGCACAAAAGGCATTAAAGGAGAAATTAAGTAAACACTACCTGGATCTTGGTCTTGCTTTGAGACTGGTGCAGTCCTTGGCAGTTGCTGAAACAAAAGATTATTTATTGTTTGCTTGGGTTTTCAGTTCTGTAATTAAAGAGGGAAGAGACGGAGCACCTTGGTTCATACGAAACACAGCAACAAGTAAATGTGAGGTCGGTGTGTCCATGTGAAAAACTTGAGGGCTTCCACATTTTCATAATTCTCTGATTTATTTTTAAAGCTAAAGGTATGTGAAAAGGAAAGAAAAGCAATATGTATTCTTTTGTCAGAATACTGAGAAGCCATTCTCAAATACGAATGGATTAATGGAGACATTCCAGGATAAAAAGACAACCCACTTAAGAGGCTTTTTTTTTTTTTGGTCTTTTTGAGACAGGGTCTCCCTGTAGCCCCAGCTGTCCTGGAACTCACTATGTAGACCAGGCTGGCCTTGAACTCACAGAGATCCACCTGCCTCTGCCTCCCAAGTGCTGGGATTAAAGGCATGCACCACCATGCCTGGTTTAAGAGGCTATTTTATGTAATGATGGATTCACACTTGAAGGCTTCTTGGTCTGTCATGATAGCCTAATAATAGATTTGGAACAAGTCTCTCCAGAGGGCAAGAAAGAAATATACCAAGCTACACATTTTCCTCAAATACATATTACCAGAGCCAGATGCAGTGGTTCACACCTGTGATCCTAGGACTCGAGAGGCAGACACAGGAAGATTGTCACAAGTTCGAGGCTAGTCTGGTATACATAGTGAGTTCTAGGACAGCCAAGGCTACTTAGCAAAACCCTGTGTGTGTGTGTGTGTGTGTGTGTGTGTGTGTGTGTGTGTTTGCTGTAGGCAAGAGTCACTAGAAGTGATGTATGACATCGGGGATGCAAAAATGCTGAGCTCCAACAAATAAGTTAAAAGAATACATGCAACTTCTCCTATAAGAAAATATCCTTAACTACATGTGGTGGCCCATGCCTATATTGCCAGCACTCATGAAGCTGAGGCAAGAAGATCACCATGGGTTCGAGACCACCAACCTGGGCTATACAGTAAGTTCCAGGGCTACCTGGGTGTGCTATAAAGTGAGACTCTGTCTCAAAAATCATCCCATAAAAAGAAAGAAGAAAGATAAAATATCCTTGTTTCCCCTGTCTCTACAATCCAATCAGATGAAGAATATTATATAGTGAAATCATTTCAACATGTTGTCCCCTGTACAACTTTTCCTCATCAAATCTAAATCATAAGCTAACTTGCTCACTACCAACACCAATCGAGCCTACTTTTCCACCATGAGTTATGGGGAGCAATTAGAAACACAAAAACAAAACATCAATCTTTTTGTGTTTCCATACTTCTGTGGAAGGTGACTTTAGAAGCCCATAGTTCTGCTAAGGTTTTATGAACACTGCAAGCTTTCATCATAAAAGTTCACACAGAGTGCTACTTATGAGGATAATATAATTTGTTTCTTTATTTTTTATATATTTATCTAAAAGTGTCTCACTGCACTAATCCCTCCTCTTTTACATTGCTCCAAAGATAAAAATCCTCTTTGGTATGAAGTAGCCTAAACTGATAATGATCATTAAGACCCTTGGGTTAGACAATCAGAGAGCAGAAAGGAGAATTGAAAATCCTCATAAATGCTAGCAAGGCACAAAGGAGAAAGAGACAGGAGAGAGGGAGAGAGGGAGGGAGGGAGATCCTCTCCCTATGGTCAGCTGCATAAAGAAGAGGCATTTCTTCTGACTTAAACATTCTGGCTTACTATAGTGAGAACAGGCATCTCTCAGCTTCAAACAACTGAAATGCTGCCATAACCTACCACCACCAAAAGTATAGAAAGCCAAGGAGTTTAGACTCTCCTTGTTCATGTCATGTACTCACACCTGGACAAAGAAGGAAAAATGGCTCCCTGCCTTCTCCCAACTCCAGGCACCAAAGAAAGGCAGCCTTTGTATGTGGGGCCTCCCTTCTCTCTCAGCCAAAGAGGCTGCCCTGGAGCTGGGAGGCCAGGGTGCCACCAGACTCACTGCGTAACTGGAGGCAGGCCTGTGAGCAGGCTGACTATTGCTACTCCGTGTCCCTCTTCTTCCTCAGGCCTCACTGCTTTTGAGAAATATTTGGGTAGGAAAAGTACTAACATGTTAAAAAACTGTTCCCCAAACCAGACCACAGTAACCGTTAATTCCTTTGTCATTTGTGTTTATCTTTCGGTTTTTGCTGGTACAGAGATGGGTGTGGAAGGAAGGGTGAGCCCTGCTAATAGAGATAGACAGACAGACAGACAGACAGACAGACAGACAGACAGACAGATGGGGTGAGGGTGTAGATGAGCAAAGAAAGAGACACAAAGACCACATTGGGGGTCCTGAGGCCCCGGGTGCTCCTCCTGACCATGACACTAAATACCTGAACTTCCCTTTCCTCCCCTGTTGCATAAAGACAGTATAATACAAGCCCCTCTCTCACAGGACAAATTACAAAGGTAAAGGTCCCAAGAAAGGTGAATGCACTGCAGAACTTCAAAAATTACTACTACTGTATAGGATGTAAATAAAAGCTCCTAATATTTTAGGATTGAAAATCTGGGTTCTAGGTTTAGTGCCTTCCAGGATAAAAAAGGAGGTACAGATGGGAGAAGGTAGTGGAAGGAGAGAACTGCTGAAATGCAGAAAGGCTGTGGGGCAGTCGCTGGCCACACAACAGTGCCTAGAACTGCCCACCACAGTCTGCAAGACCACATGGAGCGGAAACACCTCAGCAAAACTCAGAAACATCAAGACAAAGATTGAATTAGGTTGGAGTAGGACACCAGATATGTGACCTCTTAGACTCCACTAATACATATACATTCAATAACTAAAAGGTAAGGGCATATGGAAAATATTTAACAAGGAGTTCCCATTTCCTTATGACACAGTATCACCTTATCTTCATCCACCACAGCACCTTCACTGTTATCCTTATTAATAACACCAATTATGGACAGTGGAGCAGAGAGATGCTTTTCCCTCTACGTGCAAAGATATATTCAAGGCACAGCTTAGTAAATCTACTCGGGTTTTGGGCTACAAAAGACTCAATAGTATTATTCTAGTTAATTCTTCAGTCTATCACTCTTAAAGGCTCAGCTCCTGATGCATGTGAATATCTGCAAAAATGGGAAGGGCACACTGTGTTGCAAATGCAAGCAAAAGCCAATGGATGGATCCCACCTTTTCTCATGTAGCTGGAGAGAGGGGAAATAACCGTTTCCTGCAACACTCCAGGCATGTCACCTTTCTAGGAAACGGAAAGGGGAAGAAGGAGTGGGCCTAATGATTAACCTTCCAAAAGGCTGCAGCTGAACTGAGGGAAAATGTCTCCAGCACATGGACTGCCATGCAGAATTATAATTACTATCTTGAGACTCCCATGGGGAGACTCTGGTGTCTTCCAGGAAACAGGGTATTAAATATGTTTGAGATGAGGGATCCTGTCACATCCAGAAGAGGGCAGCAATGGGAAGAACAAATCAGAAAACACACAGCATGCTCCTAGGCAGTGTGAAACAAATTTAGATAGACTCCACGTGCTATGGCATACCTGTTAGGCTTTATTTGGTGATGCCAAGTCCCTAATCAAGGAATGTTAAAAATGAGATCTAAGGTTCATAACTCAGAGAACATTTGATCCTATGCTGAATCTCTGGAACAAATAGAAACAGGATCCTCAAAGCCTGTAGGAGAAGCATCAATTTAACACCACAAATTTAAGTATATTTGACTAATATCATGACCCAAAATTTACAAAAATCAGGAAGCACCAGAAATAAGAACTGCAAAGTATTGGCCCCAGGTGTTTAGCCTATACAAATAGAGCATTTCCCCTGTGATGAATGGATCCAAATATGTTTCAAAAGTCAAAATCAGGCTTGAGGATTCCCACTGCTTTTGGAGTTGATTAATCTACAATCTTAATTTATATTTTGTAGCATCGCTTTCCAGAGGTAGAAGTTCTCAAAATAGGCCCCATACCAGAATCACTATGGGGAGGTAGTGATTTCTCAAGTCCTCATTCACTGAAGTCAACCACACTCTCGTTCAGTCTTTATCCCTTTCACTCCCTCTATCTCTTCCCCTGCCTCTACCTCTTCCTCACTGCCCCTCCCCCATCCCCTACTCCTTCCCCTCTCTCCATCTTTTTAAATGATGAATGAACTTAGTGTCTGTGAAATGTTTTATAACAGCTTCAATGTTCTAGTGATCCTCCTGCTGCATCTTTAAATACATAAGCCCAGGATGAGAGCTTGCTAATCACAACAAACATAATTTACACACTAAATTTTCAAGAGGAATAACAGTTAAAAAGAAAGGACTTCACTCAAATAAATTCTCATAACCAAAGATCTAAATAAATGCTTTCTGGAGCCACTTGATTTTACACGGGGTTCATCTTGCTTCATCAAAGGCTCCATCAGAAGAGCTGAAGACATAAGCCCAGTCATTCTCTATCGTTTCACAAGCATATTTCCACTTCTCTAAGAAACTGGCCAGTACAACTTTAATTTTTCTCCTTGGAATCTACTCCATGTTTAAGCAATACCTTTCTGATGACGAAGGAGTATTAGATATTTAAGACTGATGCTTTACAAATGGAAAATACCAACTCAGCCTCTACTCACTCTATCTTATCAGTTCCCAACTCTACAAGAAAGTACAGTAGCTTGTCTAAATCATCTCACTTCTAAGCTGTCTCAATTTTATACTTTTCACAAGACCCTAAAATCAAAATGAGTGGTTCCTTCGGTGAAAATTAAATTCAGAACTTAAAGGCAGCCTCTTTTGAAAAGAGGGAGAGGATAGAACACCTAAAGGTTTCTTTGTAACAAAATACAAGACAAAAAATTAGAAAAAACTGACATCATCACAGATGCAACAATCTTCTAGTCACCAAACTGCTGGGGGTTTTTCAATTTGAAAGAATCATATAGAAAATATATTAAAATGGTTTTCTCCTACCTGGATCCTCAGACACATCCTTGGATAATGCTTCATTGCCAGTACTTTTCAAAGCTAGTAGTGTTTTGTTTCATTTTTTAAGGAAGACGAGAGAGAAGGAAAAAGGAAAAAAACAAAAGCCTTGTGAAATTTTATTTCTGAGGTATATTACATTAAAATGAAGAATCCCTATCCATCACTTATAAAAATGGTCTTATAAACCTCTAGAGGTTACTATAGCATTTACTAGAATGATGAAAACCTTGACAAAAATCCAACATAGAATGAAAGAAATGGGCAGCAGGCCCCAACACTAGCCAAGGAACTATTTTTTTAACTTTAAAAAAATTTATTTCTTTTTTTATTTTATGTGTATGCTTGTATTGCCTGCATGTAGGTAAGTGCACCCATGTCGTGCAATGCCCGCGGAGGTCAGAAGAGGCTGTCGGATGCCCTGGGACTGGAGTTACAGACAGTTGTTAACTGCCATGTGGGTGCTAGGATTTGAACCCGGGTCTTCTACAAGAACAACCAGTGTTCTTAACCACTGAGCTATCTCTCCAGCCCCCTAGCCAAGGAACTATTAGCAAATAATTACTGTGGGGTGAGGGAGAGTAGATCATCTTTAAGGGAGTGATTCTAGACAGGCTGACTAGACTCCTGTGGATGATCTTGCACCAAAGGACATCTGGGTACAAATATTTGACTGGATAGGACTTAACATTTGTTAAGACAAATGACAGAATACCTGAAATCTGGTGGGGGAAGGGGGCTAAAGGGGGTTTGATTTGATTAAGATGAATTTTACGAAATGCACAAAAGTTCAATAAAAAATGAAATTAAAAAAAAAAACTCGTAGAGTGTGGAAATAGGTTCTCCCTCCTAAAGAGCAAAGACATATTTTCCACTTGAGAGACAGAGACAGAGAGACTCTAATGGTTAGGAGGGGTATTAGCAAAAAGCATCCACTTTCTCTACTAACATCCAGCTCAATGACAGAAGAATGCCTGGGATTGAAACTCCAGCTTCGATATTTTTAGAGCTTGCCTGTTAATTACTCTACTTTGTAGTCAAGGCTAAGTCCCATCAGTTAGGAGAGTGATCAGAGTACATGGGCTGCAGATAATGTCCTAGTTCCACCTGGATCTCTTCATCAAATATTTAAATAGAAAGCATGAAACCATTGTTGCTGAATGGAAAACTTATTTTTCATTTTTAACATCTATGTAAAGCTGAATTAATGGCAGATGTCAACAACAAAACCTGAAATAGCTTCACTTCAGATAAGCTTCTCTCGTTCCTGAGCAGTGAACTGATATAAGACACCAGATGGAATACTAGCTTGAGACAGAAAATCTTGGTTGCTGTCCCAGTTCTTTTTCTTTTTTGTTCAAGTGATTCATACTGCCAGAGCTTCAATTTTCTTATCTCTAAATGCTAAGTGATTTTTAAAAGCATCAGTTTTGTGAGGTCTGCATAAGACAGTCTATAAGATAGAACCTGGTAAATTATAAAAGAAATATACAAAGTATAGGGTTTAGAGGAGAGGGTCTTTCCTGTACTTCTGGATACTGCAGACCAACTCATCCCCATGCCTCGACAAGCTTCTAACATTGAACACTGTGCTACATGGCTTCTCAGGTACCTAGTAAAACAGGCAAACTGCAGCTGGGCTCCATGTTATACCTCTACACCCACAAAACATCAAGAAACAGATAAAGCCTTGGGGTAGAAATATTGTTAGGAAGAGAATTTCTTCATGGGTTAGACCTGTGTACAAATGTACATTTACAGTGATTTTCTCAGATCATAGATGAGGAAATAGATGAAGGTGTCCTTAAAAGAAGCAAACTCATTCTTTTCATACCTTGTTTGTCATCACCAGTCACATCTTGGGTAGGGGCAGGAAAGTCAGCCATGTCTTTAACAGATGTCTTCTTGGAAAAGAAACGTAAATAAATTATACAGGTTGAAATGAAAATCAAGTGAAAAGCCCACATGAAGAAATATTTAAGTCATATTTCATGTCAAAATTAAGCCTTCAGTAAACCCTGATATTTAATATTATTTTATCATTTTGAATTCCTAATGAGGTGTAAGTTAAGCTGCACTGAAATTTTTACATACACAGAGAAGAGAAATGGACTACAGGAATAGAGAGATTCGAACTATTTACTAATCTTACATTGGTGTCAAGCATCAACCTGGCCCCTGTGAACTTTTTCTCAAGCAGGGAGAGGCTCTGATAAGTGATCCTGTAATGTGGCTATTTGCCAGGATCTGTCATACAGAGGATGTTCAACCCTGATTAGAATAGCCTCCTTACTGTGGAGTAAGAGAATTTTATTGACGAAAAGATAAAAAAAATTCCACTAACTTACACATGAGAAAAGTCCTCAATTTAACTAACAAGTTGAATATCCAAACTGTTTAAAGTCTACTAAGTATAAATTTATTTCTTAAAAGCTCTCCCAACATGTACTTGAACTATAAGAACTAGAAATATATAATATGCTTAAAAAATTACCAAGAGAGCTGGGCATGGTGGTGTATGCCTTTAATCCCAGTACTCGGGAGGCAGAGGCAGGCGGATCTCTGTGAGTTCAAGGTCAGTCTGGTCTACGTAGTGAGTTCCAGGCCAGCTGAAGCTACAGGGAGACTCTGTGTCAAAAAGACCAAAAAAATTGCCAAGAGAGATCTTAAATCTCCACTGAGGTGATGGATGTATTGCTTAGCTGGACTGCAGTAATGATTTCACAATATGTGTGTATGTATGCATATGTCAAAACATCATAAATATATGCAATACATTTGTTATACCACAATAAAGCTGGTAAATATGTATTCTAAGGTTTCTCATACAAATAAAGGACAATATATATTCATATTTGTGATATCTGTATGTGCATGTGCTGCAAAGGCATATAAGAATGGAAGGTTGGAACAAGGGAGGAAGGGAACACTAATGCATCTTTCAACTCTCACGAATGAAGCTCCCTCGTGCAACAGAAAGCCAGTAATGCAAAAGGTCACAAATGGCCAAAATACAGAGAATAAGAGTCTGCAGACTTTGGGTCCTTGGACAGGACTCTTTATCAAAATCCACCCACCCAGGGCTCAGGAACCATTGTGGAAGAGGGGAAGGAAAGATTTGTAAGAGCCAGGGAGGAGGTACATGACCACATGGATATAAAGTCTTACAGGCTCCTGGAACTATTCTTTTCTGAACTTACAGCAATGGTGTCAGCATGCACAAGATCCATGCAAACTTAAGCAGACAAAAACCCAGCACAGAACTGTGGAAATGAGCAGCAGGCCCCAATCTTGGTCGAAGAATTATTGACAGCTGATTACTGCTGGGTGAGGAAGAGCTGATCTTCTTAAAGGGAGGAGCTCTAAATGGGCTGACTAGATCCCTGTGGATGAACCTGCGCTGAGAGTCATCTGAGGACACTAACTTTACATGATAGGCCTTCACACAAATGACAGACTGTATGAACTCCAGTGGGGGGGGGTATGGGAGGGTCCCAAAAGGAAAGATGGCATAAAGATGATTTTCTGCATGAAATACACAAAAATTCAATAAAATTTTTGTTAAAAATTAAAAAAGAAGGGAAGGTTGGCGGGGTAGATGGGGAACGGAATGACAAGATGACTTGTCATCAGGTGCGTTTTGGTATTATTTGTATTTTAAACATATTCCAAACCTAAAGATCAACTTAAAAACTCACAAGAAGGTGAATAAATTTGCAGAACTGTTTGGTGTTCCAAAAGGTTAATTTTTATTTTTCAGAACTGAACCCCAGAGGGACAAGCAATGTTTTTTGGTCTTAAATTGTTCCAAAATAAAGGATTACAGTACTATTTGGTGGTAACCTGATCTAAGACATAGCAATCCTCATCTAAATGATTCTAGCTCCAACATTAAAAAAAAAAAACCAGGTAGTAGCCAGGCGTGGTGACGCACACCTTTAATCCCAGCATGGGAGGCAGAGGCAGGCAGATCTCTGTGAGTTCAAGGCCAGCCCGGTCTACATAGTGAGTTCCAGGACAGCTGGGGCTACAGGGAGACCCTGTCTCAAAAAGACCAAAAAAAATTAGTAATTTAAAAGTCCACTGAGTTATTTGATGAACTGGAAAATATTTTCTCTGCAAAAAATAGCAAAAATAACATTTCCAAGATCATCCCAATAAGTCCATTCAAATCAAATACTACCTGAATTGTACATTTATAATTAGTGTTTAAATCATGGGATTCAGAAGAAATGTTAGCTTCATTTGTTGAGAGAGCTACATTTTACTTAAAATTAACTTGTGTAAATAAAATTCCCATCACTCTTCCCCTCACGTTTTTATTTAAGGCAGATCATTTTTCTGTAGGCTAATCCATAATCCACATCTTGATTTTAGTTGTTCCTTCTGAAAGGGCAGCAAACATGTCCTTTAACCTGCTTGATATATTATGCATCCCTATCCTAATAGGTGATTGTTCACATGACTGTGAAACCTCCAGAAACAAATTTTTCAGTCTACTATCTCCAATAAATAGTCAATGAAGTTATTTTAATTGGTGGGGATTGAAACTAGGCTGTACCACTAAACCATATCCCCAGACTGCTTTTACATTTTTCATGTTAAGCAGGGTCTCTAAGTTTCCCAGGCTAGCCTTAAGCTCACTTTATAGCCCAGGCTGGTATTGAACTTGCAATTCTCCTACCTTAGTTTACACAGGCTTGACCAGACAATATATCTTAGTAGAATATTTCTTTTATTGCTTTCTCCCACCTAACTACAATATAGAAGAAGATGGTCTAGAAATAAAACAATGTAGAAGAAAATAAATCCAAAATGTCATCAAATAAAATGAAAAATCTAGCTGAGGATATAGATCAGTGGTAAAGCACTTGCCTCAAATGTACAACCCTGAATTCAATCTCCAGTATCACAAAAAATTGAAACATTAACAATCTAAATAAGGGGGCTGGAGAGATGACTCAGCAGTTAAAAACAGTGGGTGCTCTTGCAGAGGACCCAGGCTCGGTTCCCAGCACTCACATGGTGGCTAACAATCATTCATATATCCAGTTCCAGGAGATCTGATGCCCTCTTCTGACCTCCTAGGATATTGCATGACATGGGTGCACTTACATATTTGCAGGCAATACATTCATAAGCACAAAATAAAAATAATAAATTAATTAAATCTAAATAAATGGAATGGCAGTCCACATTCATTAATCTGAAGTCTTATTCCTTATTAGTCTTATTACTAATACCAGCTAGATATGATGATACACACCTGTAATCCCTGAAACTGGAAGGCTGAGGTAAAAGAATCAAGGATTCAAAAGAACTTGGAGTAGGGGGTGAAGCCCTCACTCAAAAAAACCAATAACACCGGGCATAACACCCCTTTAATCACCAAACTCGGGAAGCTGAGGCAGGCAGATCTCTGTGAGATCAAGGACAACCTGATCTACAGAGTGAGTTCCAGGTCAGCTGGGACTACCAGGAGACCTTGTCTCACCCCCCCCAAAAAAAAACCCACAGTGACAGAAGAGGGAGTCAATTCCTGGTACTGGGCTCTTTCTATGCTAGCCTCTGGTATCTAGTAGAGGCAAGGTCTCCCTGTTATATGATAACTCCTTTTATTCTTTTTCCTTTTTGACAATTTCAAACATGAATATTGGTTTTGTGGGTTTTTTTCCTTTTTACTGAATTTTTGTGAATTTCAAACAATATATTTGATCATATATAGAACCCCTCTCCTATCTGCACCCCCCTTACTACCCCCACCCAATTTCCAGTACTCTAATATAGGAAAGTAGAATGTAGTGAGTCTATAGGGTAACTCCTTTTAATCTCTTTTTTAAGATTTATTTTTCTTTGATATGTATGAGTGCTTTACCTGCATATATTTAAGTACAACATGTGTGCACAATCCCATGGAGGTCAGATCCCCTGGAACTGGAATTATTGATGGTTTTAGCAGCCATGTGGGTGCTCGAACCAAACTAGAGTCCTCTGGAAGATTAGTCAGTGCTCTTAACCACAGAGCTATCTGTCCAACCACTTTAATCTCTTTTTATAGAGTATATGTATATATCATGTAAACTCAAGCCAGACAAAATCCCAGCACAGAAGTGGAGAACTGAGTAAGAAACTCCAACCCTAGCTCCAGAACTATTGGCAACCAATAGCTGCTGGGAGGGGGAGGAGTCAGTGTTCTTTAAGAGTGTGATTCTCAGTAGGGTAACCAGGCTCCAGTGAATGGACCCACAATGAGGCATCTGACGACATAGAATTGATTCCATAGGACTTACAATGTGTGTGTGGGGGGTGTAATAGAGTACATGAAATTATGCAGGGGATAATAAGGGGATGCAGGTAGAGGAAGGAGGTTTAAATATGACCAAAATATGTTGTATGAGCTGGGTATGGTGGTGCACATCTTTAATCTCAGCACTTGAGAGGCAGAGGCAGGCAGATCTCTGTGAGATCAAAGCTATTCTGGTCTACATAGCAAGTTCCAGACCAGCTGGGGCGACAGGGAGACCCTGTCTCAAAAAAGACAAAACAAAAACGTATCATATGAGATTTGTAAAAAAAAAAAAAAAAAAAAACAAACTTTTTTTAAAAACAAAAGATGGTAGCTTCCTCCAACAAAAGATGAATCTACCCTCCAAACTGATCTACAGATGAGAATTTGGTTCTATTTTGTTGTGTTTCTTGGCAGAGTTTGACAAGCTTGTCCTAAACTTCATATGGAAATACAATGGGAACAGAATAGTTGAAATTCTTGAAGAATAAATAAATAAATAAATAAATAAATGAATAGCATACACTTCCAGGCAGCTGTGGTAGCTCATGTCTATAATCTCAGCATCTAGGAGACTGAGACAGGAGGATTAGTTTGAGTTTGACACCAGCCTGGGCT